GGGGGTGGGGGGGAATAGCGGGTAGAGAAGCATCAGTAGATAGATACCGTTGAAGGGCTTGAACCTTCTCTTTCGCCCGTCTCACCTCTTTGACCACCCAGCTCTCACCCAGCCCCTCAACACCGCCAGCCCCCTATTTAAAAATGAGGCATTCCTTCCGGGAGACGTGGCGGAAAAGTTCTCTCTAGCCTCTGCACACGTGGGTTCTCCAGCGCCACAGAACCTGCTGCGATTCGCGACCGATTCTGCCACCTCCCCAGTCCAAGTGTCACGCCTCCATCCAGGCGGCTTTGAGCTGACTTCACAGACCCAGAGAGAACCACCATGAGATCGTCAGGAAAAGACATTAGAGCAGAGTCCAATCCCCGCTTCACTGATACGGGAAAGAATGTTGAAGTACAGGTGTAGGAATGATTTCATTTTTTCCTTAAAAATGAGAGTCATAGGGCTCAAGTGTATTGAGGGTGATGTTTAGCTATCTGCATTTGAACTCCTGGGGGATGTCTCAAGCCTGTGGAATGTCCTAAGTTATAATTATTCATTAATTTAATGGAGGTAGAACTTGTTCTAGACCCTGCATTTAGTTAGAGTTACCTGACTTGGAGACTTCTTGTTTCATTTTTCACTCCATGTTTTATAAGCCATCTGAATTGGCTGAAGTTTTGAGAATATGGGCTATTTCTATCCTGTGCTGCATTGCATCATACTAATTTGTTGTGTTAGGGAAGGCAGAGTCAATTTTCATGACAGATTATGAAGTGAGAGTTCTTTATACATTTTATTTTTATACTTAACTGTCCAAGAAAAGATGTATACTTACCATGGCAACCCTTACATTCCCTGTCACGTGTGCCTGCACATATGCAGCTTCAGAATTAGAAACAACTCCTTAAAGAAATAAACCTGGTCCAATTACAGTAGCCATGTTTTATTCAGAATTTTAGCACTGCTTTAGGCTGGAATTAAATTTTTTAAAATTAAAATGTCATTCCACTTTCTTTTGTAAGCTTTTAATTTTTCTGCTTCCTCTATAAAATACAGGACATAGATTCAGTGTTTCTGTATGTTTATATTTTTGTTTGCTTTGGATTTTAAAATAATTATGAAAATGTAATTAATATCACTGAATATTTATCAATTAGGAAAGTCATTAAACAGCTATATTATCCACATGGTGTTAATTCCCAGGGATATATCTTAGATCTCTTATATTTTCAGTTTATAGTACATGGTAATACTTGATATAAAAATCTAGTTTTTTTAGTCATGACTTATAATATCCACTTTTTAGAACAGTTGAAAATTTGAAGATGAGTTATATTTTAATTGATGTATCAAAATTATATTTATTTAAACTATAATTTTCTGATGACTGTGGCATCAATATAAGGATAGATCACACATTCCATGATATCATAACTTTATTCCATATCCAAATGAATAGACAACATGGAGTAACCAATTATGGATAAATTAGTATCTGAGTTATATATGGATTCTTTTTTACATTTTCTCCCTTCATATAAATTATCTCATAGCTTTTGGAAAATTCTTTATTTAAAGAATATATACTATTCATTGAGTATAACAATTATAACAACCACACCATCTAAAAACGACATTGTTTGGAGTATTATTTTTCTCCAGTAACAATGACTGTTTTGTAGAGTATCATCCACATTCTTTTTTTTGGATAAGTCTAGTCAGTCATGTAAATTTGCAAAATAACATGTGATTTTAGGTAATATAAATCAGCCTCTTTAATGCTATGAAATAGAGGTAATGTGTAATAGCTAATTTATAATTCTAGTGCATAGCAAATAATAAGACAAAATGATGCGTGGAAAATGGTTTGGACATTTTAGAAGAGTGCAACATAAACTTTTTGGTACAAATCAGTTTTCCTATAGTAACGTGTGTGTGTGTATGTGTGTGTGTGTGTGTGTGTGTGAATATGTGGTTGTGTATAATGATGATATAGTGTGTTTTTAAGGTATGCCATTTAAATAATATGTGTGTGTGTGTGTGATTATGCACAGAAATCCATGAGCTCTTTTGATCAGGAAACATCCCTTGTCATCTTGCTTTCCTTATCATAGTGCATGAACTGTAGTCATAATAACAGCTATCTGTTACTAAACCCCTACCATGAGTCAGGTGCTTTACTTCAAAGCAATTCTGTAAGAAGCATTATTCTCACCATTTGAAAGATTAGAAAACTGAGGTCAAAGACAACAAGTGACAAGCCCATGTTAGATTGCTAGAAAGTGATGAAGATTTAAACCCAGATTTGGCTCTTGTGCCTCTTTCTCCATACCATGCCCTCTACTTTGTAGGCATAAATTAGTGCTTGTTAAATGACTGACATCTGTAGATCATAGAACTATTTCCTAATGAATAAAGGAGAATTAACATTTTCAACCAGCTTTTCAAAGTGATATGCATATTTGGCGGTCATACACCATATTACTTTTGTTACCATCAATTAATGTTGGTACAGAAGATACTGGTACTTATGTTCCTGGCATAATTAATTCATGACAGAAACATTTAATAAGCTATTAGAATCTGTCATATAAAAGTACATACAGGAAGCTTTCAATAAAGCACATTTTGAGTCAACAGTTCTCATGTCTATTTTACAACTGTGGTGACATATTTGATACATAAGCCTCTCTGAAGAGTTATCATATGTTCTATTTAAATTATTAATGATGATAGAAAAATGATCATTTGTCATTCAATGACATATGGAAAATTATTAAGTAAATTTAATAACCCAAAGAATTTCCTGCATACACTCACTTTCATTACATCGTTCATTGCTTGATAAATTACTTAAAATCTCTATACAAAATATTATTTTATTTAATACACATGAAAGCAACAGTAGTTACCAGAGATAACATATTGAAATTTACATCAGCATTGACATGATCTGTCTAAATATTTTAACAATGGAATAGATGCTTACACTATTTAAAGAATTAATTTACTGGCTTCTAAAGATGTGGTTTCTTCAGTTGTTCCAGAATATTTTTGCTCTACATAAAGTTCAGTAAGGCTGAGAGCATATTTAACATCAGAAGATAGTGATACCATGTCCAGGACAGTAGCATAACAAATTTATTAATTTAAAAGCAAGAGAATTGTAGAATGTGTGTGTGTGTGTGTGTGTGTGTGTGTGTGTGTGTGGTGGTGGGGGGCTGGTGGTATATGTGATCAGATAGGATTACATTTTGTGCCATTCAAGAGGTAAAGTAGTATGAAAACAGGTGAGAAGCTATAGGTTGAAATTATAGGGCAGAGGTAGCTGACCTGAAAAGAAAAATACTGATAGTTTAAGTGATGATGATAAATCTCACTATCATTATGAGGCTTTCATAGGGAGAAAGAGAAGAAGGTGGTGCTGTGATATACAGAGCTAGCAGAGGAAAAGATGGGAAAGAAACAGTTGAAAAAGATCTGTTTGAGTCACTTCAGCAATGAAAAAATATTATAGCTATTTAAGCTATTATGATATTGAAATAGAAAAAGATACTTTTGTATAGTGAAACACATTTTATGGATGGCTGGATACATTATCAAATTATTTGGTAATAGAAGGAAAGGCAAGAAATGAACCTTATTGAAACAGTGCCTAAGTGTTATGAAGACATTTGTGAGTAATGGACACAAAGCTAGAATGTGTCAGCTGAATTTAAAAAATAATGTGACTCAAATGGTGTAACTAAAATAACATAAAAGTGCCAATAATTAGGCTTCTTGAGTAGTAACTGCTTAAATGTTCTGCATCTAGTGCATTCCCCGTTGTACTTCTTACCATGAGTAGGCATCTTACAGTCACATAGGATGGACCACATATTTTGAGCCCTGATATCACAGTGGATATTTACTCCAGTGTTATTCTGAGTCAGTGTCATTCAAGAGATGAAAAAATTTTCTTCTCTACTTCAAGTGTGATTAATTTCTATAGACAATTATAAGAGCTATTGTAATTAAATCAAATACCTATTTAAACTTTCAGTGATTGTTAAATATTAGCAATGTCCTTAGGGTAATACTCTATTGTTGAACATTGGGCACACCACACACATGCACACACAGCTGTAATTACTCTGTTTTATAACACACACACACACACACATACACACACACAGCTGTAATCTCACTATTTCAGGAGTTCATAACACTTCAGAAATGGACAGGAATTAAGAGGGTCTGATTTTACAAAAGAGGAAACTGAGCCCAGCTAAGCTGGCTTTCTTGCTCAAGGTCATAAATTGTTAGTGAGAGAAACAGAAATTGAACATTGAACCAGATCTCTTGGCTCCCAACCTGGACCAGTAAAATCACACCCTTGAAACTATTGGAGTCCTTTGCACCTGAGCAAAGGGAACTAGGAAGAAGATCCTTGATCCAATAAATCCAGTTAATGAAGCCAGCCAATAAGATGACCCCACCCAA